GGGGTCTTGGTCTGGTACAGGATGGTCTTGAGCCGGTGAGCTTAGGCAATCCAGCCGCCTCGACTTCCCAGAGTGCTAGGATTACAGGCATAAACCACCGCTTCTAGCCTCTGTAAATTATCAGTGGACATTTAGTATAAGTAGCACTTCGAAATCATTATGTGTATATACTTACCACTGATCTCATTTCCTGTTGTTCTTGACAGGTAAAATGTAGTGACTTGCATTTATTTACTGATGAGGTTACGTTCTTTTCATTTTTTTTTTTTTGATTATTTTCATTTCATTCCTAGCTTTTCTATGGAGATACTAATTTTTTTTATTTTCTTAAAACTCTTTTTATGTTGAAAATATTAGGTCTTTGTCATACGTTTTATATGTATTCCTTCTGTTTTCTCTTTGACTTTTTGTACTATTTTATTAGCTAGAAATTAACTTATGTCATTTTATTTTCCCATTTTTTCATGAGTCTATCTTTGATAGCGTATTAACTTAGCAAGGTCTTTCTCATCTCAACCTTATAAAATGTTGACCTATATTTTGTTAGTATTTGTGGATTTGTATTTGACACTTAAATCTTAATCCACATTGGTTAAGTTGTGAGGAGAGATCTAACCTGTTTTTTGCCCATTTAACCAGTTGTCCTAATATTGTTTGGTGAATAATAATTACTTGTAAATTATATGTTTTGGTTTTTGCAAGACAAATTCATTCATCTTTATTCTTCTTTTAAAAAATGTCTAGGCTATTCTGCATTTTTATTTATTCATTCATTTATTCATTTTGAGACAGAGTTTCACTATCTCACCCTCTGTAGAGTGCTATAGTATCATAGCTCACAGCAACCTCAATCTCTCAGGCTTAAGCGATTCTCTTAAGAGAATCTTGCCTTACCCTCTCAAGAGGCTGGGACTACAGGTGCCAATCACAATGCTTGGCTATTTGTCATTGTTGTAATTGTCATTGTTGTCTGGCAGGCCCAGGCTGGGTTTGAACCCGCCAGCCACAGTATATGTGGCCGGTAGCTGCTGAGCCTGTTCTGCATTTTTAAAAGATTAATTCTGAAATCATTTTGCCAACAAACAAGAATTTTTTATTGGAATTGGATTAATTTTATAGGTTAATTTATCTAGGGAGGGGCGGCACCTGTGGCTCAAAGGAGTAGGGTGCTGGCCCCATATCCTGGAGGTGGCGGGTTCAAACCCAGCCTGGCCAAAAAGTGCAAAAAAAAATAAATTTATCTAGGAAGAATTGATGTTTCTAATTTTGAATTTTGCCTGGAAGAGGAAGCATAGTTTTCCAAAGCAATAAGATTCAAACTAAATCAGTTTGTTTCTAACACATTTAAGATCTGTGTTACAGATAAGGCAAAGATAAGTAGAAATACTAGTTTTAAACCAGTACCAGAGGAAAAAAGAATATATTATAAAAGAAAAAAGGAGAGAATTATAAAATTGTGAAGATTGTTTTTTTGTAGGCTTTCTTTTAACCAGCTCCCCAGCCAAGACTGGACCACCTTATAAGGCAAAGGTAGCATGTTCAGTTTATAAATGACTTTTGTTTTTAGGAATCTCATATTGAGCCAAAGTGCATACTAATAGGATTTTGGCCTCTGTCTTCAGACTCCAGAAAGAAAACTAACCTTGCTTTCTCTAGGACATGATCATTCTTGAGATATTGAAAGACAAATACCCTTATTCTGACCTAAAGGTCCTTCAAAAACAATCTCCAGATTTTTCTGTGTTTTTGTTACTGGTAATGTGTTATAATTTGCCATTGCTCAACCCAAATGCCCTCTTAGAAGTAGGATAGCATAATTTGAAATAGGGGTAGAAATAAGAAGATGGAGAATGAAGCTAAGACCATTCAATACAGCAGCCTAACTGCTGGATATCTACCTAAAGGAAAAGAAATTACATCAAAAATATATCTACGTAAGAAAATGACTTGAGCCCAAGAGCCTGAGGTTGCTGTGAGCTATGACCCCATGGCAGTCTATCAGGGGTGACAAAGTGAGACTCTGTCTTTAAAATATATATATATGTGGCTCGGCACCTGTGGCTCAAGCGGCTAAGGCACCAGCCACATACACCTAAGGTGGCGGGTTCGAATCCCCAGCCTGGACCTGCCAAACAACAATGATGGC